ACATGTGACCCACGTTTCTAGAATGGATTATATATTAGGAAACTGAATGCAGTGGAATCTAAAACCTTACTCACATGACTCATTAACGGATGGCCTTATTGATTGTGTTATTATGCAATTGTTGGAGTTTTCCTAGTAAAAAAATGTTAAAATATTTGAATTACTCATATAACCAAATAAAGCATCTCATGTTGGCTCTCCTTTGTGCTTCTTCCTCCCTCAGAAGTCTTCCTCCTCTCCTCTGGCTGCCACAGTGACCCAGTTTCCCGGATGATCAGAGCTCCTCAGCCAGGCGTTTAGCCCGGCACTTCACATACACTGAGGACAATTCCAGAACAATCATCAGCAGCGACTGTGTGCTCAGGCTGGGTTCATTAAGCATGTTTTATTGAATGTGTTTCAATCACCATGTTTAAGTGGAGCAGGCTCTTTGCCGCATGTCATCTCTCCCTCCTCACATTTCCAAATACCTGATGTATCTTCAACAATAGCAAGAAGCCCAGATCAAATCAAAACTCTGAACCTGTGAGTACCAGATCTAAACCTGACGCCACAGGAGCGCTCCCCCCCCCAGCCACTGGCCTCCTCAACAGGGCAGGACCCCCCCCCCGACACAGACTCACACTACACGTTACACACTGTCAGCGCTACATTAGGCCTTGTGAGTATTTCTCCTCCTCACACTGCGCACTGTGAGCACACATGATACAGAGCTTTTTACACCGCCATTTGTATTTTTTTACAATTGTTTATATTTATGTTTCTTGTAGACCTTCTTTTTGTTTTTTACATAATATTGTTTTTGTTTAATATAGTTTTTTTTCTATTTTGATATCTGTTTCTTTGCTTCTGTATGCACCAGTTCAACACAATTCTGATTCTTTTTGTGATGTTTCACCAAAAATCGTCATAAAAAATAGATAGATTTGAAGTTAGTAACTTTACATTTTTTAACATTTAGGCTTCACACTTTTCCACTGTGGTTGATTTCTCTAGCAGGTATACTACGGACGTGTCCTTTAGTTCCCGGCTGCTGTGAGGACAGCTGCAAAAGATCAGGCTTGATTTATGGCAAAACTACATTTTGCATCATTCTGACGGAATAAATACAGTTTCCAAATGAATATGTTGATGCTATGTATGACATAATGTGTTCATTTACTAATAGATGTGTCAGCAGATGACGGCTGCATTCTTCTCTGTACGGTCAAACATGGTGTGCAGTTGTGTGGATGAAGCGGTTCCCAGTGGGGAGGGGAGCAGCAGCTCTGAGATCCACAAAAGCTTTTTACTTCATAAAAGAAGGGAATGTAAATCCATTGTCATAGGAGGTGAGTGTATTTCAACACAAAGATTATCACAATTATGAATGCTGATACCACTCCTCTATTCTGCACATGTGCTTCCAGCCCTTTTGACTATTTGTGTATTATGTCTCTTGAAAAGGTGAGGGGAGAAAGGGGAGGTTAATCCCAGGACCCGGCTGCCATGATTGTGTTATCTGCAGCCAACATTTGGGTCTCCCTCAATTTCACCCCGGCAGAACGGCTGGGAGAAAGTGCAGAGCGCTGCCCGGGGAAAGAGTTATTAAAGCTGCAGAACTTCAGCTGCGTAAAGCTCCTCCGTCACTTCACTGGATTTGTTTGAAGTGCTCTCTCCATCCTCACTGTCAACCTTTTTTCTTTCAACCGGGCTTATTCTACACTCCCAAACTGATACTCTTTTTTCCAACAGTGGGTTGTGCATATCTTTGGGTAGCAGCATGTTGACAGAATGCTGCCTTAAACTGCTGATGAAAGAGAAGGCAGCGGTCTCCAGAGGTCACCTGCACCGTCCATTACACCACCCACATGAGATGTTAGGTCCTATGAACACATTAAGTGGAAACTATCATATTTACATGAGAGTAATGGAATGATTATGATGATTATGTTGCAGCTTTTCACACAGCTTCCAAACAATTGAGGTGAATATAATAATAACAGCTGAGCAGAAGTGCATATTGGTCAGTTTGGTTGCAGAGAGATGAGGACAGAAGCATGTAGGCTACTGTGAGAGCTGCATGCTATGGAGTCATCTCATAAATGCAGATCGGAATATAGATAGAACAGCTCTTCAGTAAATATTGATTTAAATTGCTCTTTTTTTTGGTGTGTTTAGGTCATTGTGTGACAGAAATGAAGATGATTTGCCCGATTCACTACTTTCATCAGTCATAAATAATGTGTTTTACATGTGATGCCTCAAGGCCTCATGCTATCCTCCAAAGTAGGAACATACAGTTACTGATCACCACTTTCATTGAATGTTGAGTGGCTTGGTCCACTTTGTAGCACCTGAGGTGTTCCCGGTCAAAAGGGACCCCCATAGGAAATGAATGGGTAAAGATTGTGTCTCTCCATCAGATAGTTCAAAACCAAATCGACAACCATGTTGATTTTGTAATACATTTTCAGTATTCTTTGTAGGGCTGTGCAATTAATCGTATTTTAATCGCAATTACGATTTTGGCCTGCCACAATGACGAAAACAACATAATCGAAAAAAACGATTATTTTGCTTTGCTAGGTTGTGACAGTGCACTGCAACATATTTGATCTCATTAATTTGTATTTATCATATTTATATATGTTTAGTAGCTTGTTGAAGTGCGCTCCAAAATATTTGTTGATCTTGTTTATTGGTATTTATTATTTTGATATTATTTATTTAAATGTAGATATAAATGTATCATTTATTTTATTTATTGGTTTTTCAGTTGAATTATACGCTCAGGGAAATCAACAGTTAAAAAGATACTGTTCAAATTATTATTTGTATTTGTTTAAAAGTTCAATAAATGGATGTTTTCAAAGTCATGAATAATCGTATTTAATAATCGTGATATCAATTATTGACCAAAATAATCGTGATTATGATTTTTGCCATAATCGCACAGCCCTAATTCTTTGTATATTTACTGCCGTTATTAATGTAAATAGTCTGAGATATTGATTACAGCTTAAAGGGAGTGATGATTATGAATGGTTTTTGTGTTGAGCAGTTAAAGCAGACTGCTCAAATCTCACGGGGAACACCAAAGTAAGGGGAGAAAGGAACACGACAGGGGGTTCATTTGCAGCTAGTTTAATTTCACTATATATTGATGCGAGCATGAAAACAGTAGATTATCTGATGGAAAAATACTCATCCATGAGTTTCATTCAGCCGAACACTGCTGCTCACATTCTCCCAGATTCTGCCAACATGCCACCAAAAACTATATTAAAGCAAATCAAATGAATATTTAAATACAATCCAAACAACACGAGAGGAAACCTTCAAATGTGGAGAGTTTGCGCCGCGGGCAGCACACCGCAGAGCGCAGAGATGAAAGTGAAAAGAAATAAAAGGCTCAATTTAATCTGCTTTAAAGCCTCCACAGAATGCATGAGCCTGGAACTGTGAGAGTGAGGGCTGATAGGGGATAAATATATTTCTTACCATGCCTCGGAGCTATTACACCCCTCTGCAACACTGACGACTATTCATCAGACACCGGTTTCATTACCAGCTGTAATAAGCTAAATCTGCAAATTATGAAAAGCCAGCCGGGATGACAGGGAGACACCGCTGATCTCTGAGGAACAGGAAACACTTGATGGCGTCTGAGAAACATGTCAGCAGTCAGAGCGGTGGTCAGGAAACAGTGAGGCCCTAACCCGAGGACCGGCTGATCCCCCCCCCACACACACTGAGGAACTGAGCCAGCACCACACTGTGTCCAAAGCCAACACTGACAAAACCACTCAATATGTAGAACGTTTATCTGAAAGTTCACCAAATAAATCTGGGTATTTCAAACAACTGAAACTTTAATGAAATGTATTTTGTCATCAGATTTCACATAACTGTATTAGGTTAGTTGAAAGCAATTAGATTAAGGTTAAATACAACATATTATGTCCAACTTAATATTATTGCCTTCAACTAACCTAATGTGAAATTTGTTGACATAATACATTTAATTAAAGTCAACATTTCAATTTCTTCAGTGTAATATAAATACGTTGTTATTTAGAAATATGAAAGCGAATGTACCTAAATGTCCTCCTAAGCATCAGGGCAGACACCATGTTCCTCCGGCCTATCAGCCTCACGTCCTCCTAAGCATCAGGGCAGACCTGTTCCTCCGGCCTATCAGCCTCACGTCCTCCTAAGCATCAGGGCAGACCCCATGTTCCTCCGGCCTATCAGCCTCATGTCTTCCTAAGCATCAGGGCAGACACCATGTTCCTCCGGCCTATCAGCCTCATGTCCTCCTAAGCATCAGGGCAGACCCCATGTTCCTCCGGCCTATCAGCCTCATGTCCTCCTAAGCATCAGGGCAGACCCCATGTTCCTCCGGCCTATCAGCCTCATGTCCTCCAAGCATCAGGGCAGACCCCATGTTCCTCCGGTCTATCAGCCTCATGTCCTCCAAGCATCAGGGCAGACCCCATGTTCCTCCGGTCTATCAGCCTCACATGCTGAGTTATTCTGCTCATTCCATTAAGATCTTGATATATTTCCTACATGTTTTAATATAATTGTACGTTTAAAGCGAATTTAATTTGTGCATCTTTTTGTCATGGTGGATTCACTTAGGCCTATAAACCGAATATATATTTATTTTTATCGCATTAAAAAAAAGTTTGAATTTGAAGGCGAACCAAACATGTTTCTCAGGCTATGTGTGGTGTGTGTGGGTGTGTGTGTGTGTGTGTGTGTGTGTGTGCTGTGTGGTGGTGTGGGTGTGGGGGGGGGCCTGTCAGGCTGCTGTAAATTGTATTGGACTGGCACAATCGGCTCCTCTCGTCAGCAGCGCCACGGGAGTCCCCCCCCCCCCCCCCCCCCCCAAAGAACACATATAAATAATGAAAGAGAAGAGCGCGCGGAGACTAAACACCGTTTTAGCCCAATTTGTAGCCGATTCCCCGCGCGCCCTCTCCTCCATGCCCTCGCGGCAGGCAGCGGCCTACCTTTGTCTCCCAGGATCCCGTCGATGCTGTGTTTGCTCTTCTTCTCCCCGTCTTCATCCTTCTTATCACACTCTTCCCATCATCCTTTTTCCAAACCGAGCTCGAAGTACACGGCTGATCGAACTCACTGAAAACACAGAGGCAGCTTCAGCAGGCTGTTCATCACAACAATAATCCTAATAAAAACACAATAACAATAATAACAATTGATATAATAATAGCAATAATTATAATCAACAATCAAATAATAATAATAAAAAGTAATAACAATATTAATAAGCGTTAGGCCTAGGCTATGTAAAATAGCAATAATTATAATCATTATAACATTAATAATAATAACACAAATAAAAACACAATAACAATAATAATAAGTAATATAATAATAGCAATAATTATAGTCAACAATAATATTAATAATAAAAAATAAAAAAACAATAACAATAATAATAAGCGTTAGCCTATATAAAATAGCAATAATTATAACAATAATGATAGCAACAACAACAATAATTACATAACAGTAAATAATAACAACAATAATCATAATCAATAACCACCGTTAAATGATCATTAATAAACAGTGTTCTCTCTCAGTCTCTGCAGTGAATCAGCGGGTATTGAAGGTGGATCTTACCGGAGCAGGCCTCACCTGAAGGGACCGTGCTCCGGTCACACACGCCGTCCTTCAGCAGCTTGTCCCGGATCTCCCAGCTGAACATGCCGGGGTTGTCCCGCTTATACTCCTCTATCCGCTTCTCCACGTCCGGCGTGGCGACCTGCTGCAGGGGGGGGGGGGGGGGCAGCAGGACAGGTGATTACAGGCCCTGAAATGTGTCAAAGTAGCCTATCTTTATATCATTATCCTGACACTGTGCGGCTCCTCACCCTGGGCTTGCTGCCTCCGATGGCCCCGGGCCGGATGGAGCCGGTCTCCTGGTAGCGGCACAGGATCTTGGACACGCAGCCGTGAGAGACGCGCAGCTGGCGGGAGATGACACAGGGCCGGATCCCGTGGTGGGCCATCTCCACTATCTTGTGTCGGATGTGGTTGGGCAGCGGCCGGCCGTTAATGAAGACCCCCCCCAGCTGGTTGACCCGGCCCTGGCCCAGAGGAGTGGACACTGGGGGCCACAGACACACTCAGTGTGAGTTTTAGGTGATCGGTAATCATGAGGGACTGTCGAAGGAAATGTTCTGATGGAAATGTTGAGTTTCCTCTACATGTTATAATTCGAATAAAATGAGGCCTGAAAATATCCACAGGCCTCCTGATATATTGTATCGTTATTCTCTACGTGGCTGCAGTAAATGAACATTTGGGTTAACAGAGGACCGGATCTACTTCACAGGATCTGAAGAGCTCCATTATTCAGCAGCACGCTGTCCAAATATTGGAGTAATCCTCCGTGCTGTTTATTCGATTCATTTCATTTCCACTTGAAAGACCCCATGATTTGGTTAGAGACTGTTAAGTGTTTTCTTGGGATTTAGATATGATGACAACGTGTCCACTGGATGATAATAAATTAAGTGCAGCCCGGGTCCTGTAATATTTAGCCAGTAAAATAATAATATAATAAGGATGAAAACAAAGACATTTTAATGTGTGAATTTTCTTTTCGCAAGAATGCGAGTCCTTCAAGACAAACCAAAAGTTGAAGCGGCCTAATGTCGCCCCGTGAAGACGGACCGGGAAATGTGTTGTCACTTCATCATGGAAACTCGATTGCACAACGACAAATAACACAGTATTTTACGCACGAAAAACATGCAGAAAAAACAGCTGTGCCTTCCTGAAGTGGTTTTTAAATCTGCACAAGGACGCCTTGTCTATTTACAAGTAATGTCTTTCATTTTTAACTCTGCATATTTGTAATTGTTCACACAGCTCTCGGGTTCTCAGTGTAAAGGCCGGCAGGCTCCTACCTTCCAGAGGGAATCCGGTTCGGGGGTAGTTCTGTCCGGGAGCAGGGCGCATCATCCGCGGTACCGTTCCTGGCAAACACGACATTAAAAAAAACACACACACAAAAAGAAAACAAAAGCAAAAAGACGGACACGGTTAAAGTCCAGACTTGTTGGTCACACGTGTGAGGAGGGACACGGGGGGGCTCTGAGGGAGCAGTGGAGCGGTCCTCACATCTGACAGCAGCCTTTTAACGGTGTGAGGCTGGATCACTGACAGGGCCCGGACAAGTCTGGACCATCCGGGCTGCAGGGGGGGGGGGGGGGGGGGTCGCAAGCACCGATAGGTTCTTGGAGCTTTCTCTTTTTCCCTAGAGAAAAGCTCCAGCAAGTTGAAGCAGCCAATGGGAACGAAGGGATAAAGACACACCAACACACACACACACACACACACACACACACACACACACACACACACACACACACACACACACACACACACACACACACACCCTCACACTCTGGCAGCTTATTTTCAGTCAAATACATAAACAAGTAAATGTGAAAGCTCCGTTAAAAACAGTATAAAAATATTGTGTAATATTAAAGGCTATTATTTAAGCAGACACTACACTCCACAACTGCTATCATTATAACGTGTTAATGGGAGAAAAAAATATTTCACACACAAACACTTTTTCACTTTACACGCTTCATGCAATCATCTAGATTGTTGTGTTTATGGTCATTTGGCACGTGTATTTGTTACAGTTTTTTTCAGGGCTCATTTTCTCAAAACACTTAACACAATTCGCACCACATTTTTCGTGCAAAATTAAGCACTGCACCCAAAACTATACACTTACCAAAACCAAACTTTTGCACTAAATGGCACACACTTCACTTATAGTACAAGCCACTTCGTCACACTGTGGTGCTTTCTCTAAAGCACACTCATCTTTTCCCTCTATGTAGAGAATTCTGCATATAAAGATTGTTCAAGTCTACAAACATATGTGCAGAGACAAAAATATACTGTTGTTATACTTTTATTTTTCTCCCAAAGAAATTGGTGCAACATTCATGCTGAACACATAGTTACAGTTGTGTAAACAAAATGATGCCTCAAACACAGTAAATGTAAAGGAAAAAAAAAAAATGTAAACAAAATAACAGAGGAGAGAAAAGTGCTTAGGGTGCATCTCGCCGCCTAGCTGGGTCTGACCACAGCACCTCATCCACATCACAAGCAATATCTTCCCTGGCTAAACATCGCGGGAAGAAGCGTCTTGAGTGTCGTATCCATCCCTGGACAGCACTCACATGTCATCACGTGCCTCTTCCATTGCCTCCAAAAGAGTCAAGCGCTCGTATGGCTGACGGTCATACACCTTCCACCGCCATGTCCAAAAGAACCCTTCTATTGGATACAGAAGCAGAAATTGTGGGTGGTCAACGAACCAGTTTTGGACGGTGGCTGCTCGATGAAAGCTGACATTGTCCCATACAATTACGTATCTGAGTTGCAAAAAAACGTATATATTGTGTATAATGACTAACTGCACTCAAAACAACATCAATTCTTATCGAAACTCAACTTTTGCACCAAATGGCACACACTTCATTTGTAGAAGACGCTTTTTTCAACTAACTACACACTGTGGTGCTCAATCTAAAGCACACTTACTTTTGAGGGCTTTTTTCTGTATGTAGAAAATGATACACTACACACAAATGTGCAGAAAACACCAATATTCTGTTGAAACAAAACATTTGTATTTCTCTCCACAGTAAATGGAAAAGACAGCTTTAACCGTTATGCTGCAAATAAACTCTTCAACTGACTTCAGTTCATCCTCCCCCTCTCTCATCCTCCCTCTCTCTTATCCTCCCTCTCTCTCATCCTCCCTCTACCTCTCCCTCTTGCTGCTATCCATATATCCATGTTTGTTGTAAAAAGGTATTATGTGGAGCCTTGTTCAAGTGCTTACATCCTGATTGCTGAGTCAACAATAAAGCATTTCCGTGTTTATGGTCATTTGGCACGTGTATTTGTTTGTTGGTTCATGTGTGTAGCATTTTTAATGGCAGTGTTTTGAAAACGGCAAACAAGTGAATATGTCAGATTTCTGTGTCTTACTTTGTCAGAGCCAAATACTGGCAGATCAATTCTGGACCCATTTTATCAAGGACTATCTGCCATCCGATAACTTGCAACTGGATACAGCTGTCCTTATAATGGATCCACAACTGCCATGGGCTCAATGGCCAGTAGGGAAGGTAACCAGGCTGCATCCGAGCCCTGACCAGTGTGTCCGGTCAGCCGACGTTCTAGTTCAAGACAGAACTTACACTCGGCCAGTGGCCCGCTTGATATCATTACCTGAACTATCCAACTGAATGGGAATTCATATCTTTCACAGCAGCTGAGCTAATGTGGGGGCAGCTGTTGTGAATTCCCTGTGCTGCCCAAACACTGCCCTCTAGAGGGCTAATGAACATTCTCCTGCCTGTCACCAAATGCTCCTGATTGGGGAAAGTGACAACAGGTGTGATCAGGACACACTCAGGTGAACACTGATTACTGCTGCTACTTAAAGAGCAGACAGACTAGCAGGAAAGCCTCTCCAGTCCTGCTCTCTCATGCGTCCCTGAGAATGTGAGTTTCCTTTATGTGTTTAATGTATACTGCAAACTTTGTTTATTTAACTTTATTTACAGCTTGTTTATTTGATGTATTATTTATGACAAATATGTATTCTTTTGTCTTGTTTGCCAAACTGCAGAAACCATGAGTTGGAGTAAATAAATGGAACTAAACTGCATTTCTGACCAGAACTCCTTTATTCTTATTGTGTTATGTGTAACGTTGCTGCCTTCTTGGCCAGGTCAGCATTGAAAATGAGATTTTATCTCAATGTTTTTATCTGGTTAAATAAAGGTTAAATAAAAATAAAATAAAAAATTCGAGACTCTTAAGTGGTCAACATATTCAAGCCGGCAAAATAACAGTCAAATTCATTTCAAGCAAGTGAAAAAAACTGTAAACAGTACCAGGCATTCATCAGGGACTGCAGGCCCTGTCTTCTTGTTGGGGCTCATACAAGCACGAGGGGGAGATTCATTCAAACTGTTCTGTCTGCTGCATCTGGCAGGCGGTACCGCAGCATCCGGACTAAAACCACCAGACTCCGGGACAGTTTCATCCCACAGGCCAGAAGACTGCTAAACACCTGAGCTCTGTAAAGTGCCTCGATAAACATTCCTGTTTGTCATCTTGCATGTCATCTTGCAATCTACTTATTTATATAAATAGTTATCACCGCAATACACCGTATTTAATTTTGTCGTAATGTACATTATTTCATTTCATTTTCTGTTCTTGTACATATCCTATTCTATTTACATGTTTAATAGACTTTTTGAACTATTTTTTATTTTTATTTTGTATTTTATTATATATGTTGTATTGTTGGAGGCAACACACTCTCACTCCATAAACGTCCAGGAGCGACGCTTGGTCAGGGTCCCTAGGCGTGCAGTTGGGACGCTCCTAGGCTCCTTCAGCTTCATAAAGGGACGCAAATAGCTTTCAACTGATTGCAATGTATTCCCATCTGCGGCGGGATTTGACACTCATGGAAGCACGGCATTCGTTTGTGTCGGAGGCTGTTAAAGGCAATGAGCGTCCATTCCCATTGGATAACGGAGAATTGTACACCCGGAAGTAAGTATTCCCCTTACTGTCGATTGATTTTACCGTGATATCTGCACTACTCATCAACTAAAAAAAAACACCAGATTATCCTTGTTAATTAGGATTAGGATTAATTATTGATTGGTTTAAATTGTATGCAATGCTTTTGTATTTTTCCCCCTTCGATTCGGAGAAACAAATATTTTTTTCGGAGTTTAGGATGGCAGAAGACACTACACTCAGTGGCGACTGGTCATTAGGGGCAGATGGGGCACAGCCCCACCTAGTGTCAGCAGAAAGTATTACAAATAATGATTACAAAAATGCAAATAAAAAAATATATAAAATATATTTTAAGATCATGTTTAATCATCTGATTCGTCTGTACATTGCTGTTTTAGTCTGTGTTCTTCTAATTAGTGTGTCTACAGTCACAGTGTGTGCCTATTGAGCTGTTTAGAGCCATGTGGGACAAAACCTGATTATGCCCCTTCCTCTCGCTGTGAAGTGAACGGTGACTGTAAAAACTACACTGCGCATGCTCAGAGTATTTTGTAATGTGTGTGGCAAAAAAATAATGACCAGAGGGGCACGGAGCTACCATCCCCACCATACGTCATCTCAAATCATTCAGAGCTGATTGGCTGTAAGTACGTGTGCCGCGAAAAGTGTGGTGCTTGAAGAGGAGACGAGAGAGCTGCAGTGGCGCGTCCTAAAACCAGGAAGTAAGCACAAAAAAGCAATGAGATTTCTCCAGAGGATTTTAGAAAATAGCTCGAAATAAGATCTGTGGGAAACGTACCTGTTAGATAAATCCACGTTTTGATTAGCCGGATAACATCCACATGTCTTCCCTACTTTTATAATTTTTTTATCATAAATCTATAGATTAGATTTGATAGACTTTTGAAACTACAAGAAGATAAGGAGGACTTTTACAAAAAAGTAATAGAAATGTTTGTCCAGAAGGATAGGCAAATGGACTTCATCTTCAAGTCAAGGTAAGACCGCCATTTTATTGAAAATGGGATCTTACTAAGAGAGAACAATTCAATATTTAAATGATAAAATTACATTTTTTTTGGGTATCCTTTTGTTGAACTGTCTGTTTAAAATTAATCGAAGCATCAGACAAAAAAAGCTTTTGAAAATAATATATTTTGGTTTAGGTCAAAATATAATATTTGTAAACCTGAAGAGTCAGTGCCAGTGCCTCACCAGCCATGAACCTCACTGCACGTCACTGCAGAAGCTTATATATAGACATCTAAGTTTTTTGTGCCCCACCACTTTTGTACATATAAAAACGCCACTGACTACACTACCCAGAATCCCCAGCTATCGTTTAGGACTACACCATGTGCTCTGTTTGACAAACCCCGTAATTAGTTCTCAAGCTCTGTGATTGGATGTTGGAGTG